CCACAGCAAAGGCTGACCTCGTACCTCGTACCTCGTGACCTAGAACTCATCATGGAACAGCCAAGGCTGCCCCGAAATATCGGTGCCTTGCTGCCTTAGCCTCCCAAACAGGGAATAAAAGCATGAGCCACAACATCTGGCTGCCGTTACATTTCCAATAGTACCAAAGAAGTGCCAATGGCATGGCTCAAAGAGGAAAGGTGGTTCCCATGCAGCCTGACCCTGACTGAGCTCAAAGCTACTCTACCTTCCTTCATGAACCATGGCATGTACATACCTGTACTCACACAGGAACAACATCCACATACATACAAACACATAAAAATAAGTAAATGTAAACAAACATATCAAAACGTCTCTAATATCTTTAGCTGCAAACAACTAAACTATTATCTACACATAGTTAATGATTAGCTGCGGAAAGCACAGCTTTGGGAATTGTGATAACACAAATATGTGAAGTCAGGGCAAAGGTCTAGAAGTGCTAACAGGCTTTGCACATCTTAAAATGTATAGCTGCATGCATGTAGTCTTATGTCTACATGCATCATTATGCCCACATCAGTCACACACATACAACTGATGCGACTGCATCAATTCCCCGACTTCTCTAGTCTTGTTCCACTGACTGTCTGAAGTGTATGAGAGGGAAACAGAAACCAGAGGACATCTTCAAAAATACTATCCTTGTGTTTTGCAAATTAATATTATCTATTAGAAATACTTTCCTGAAGCAATGATCACAGAACCATTTATTTCAGAGAAGACAAATAAGAAAAGAAAGACTCGGCACAGGGAAGGAATGGGAAGCATTCAAAACTGGTCATTTTCACAATGTTTCAACTTAGGATGAACCAGACAGTACATTCTGGACCAAAGAGGGGTAAAGTTAGACCTAAATACATGTATTCAAATCTAAAAAAAACAACTAAAACATTCATATTCACAAAAGTCTGATACAGGGGCTGGACGAGCAGCTCGGGGCGCATAGCACCTAACAGCCAAGGGTGAAGACTGGAGTTCTGATCTCCAGACCCATACAAGTGTCAAGTGGGGGTAGTACACACCTGTAATCCCAGAACATGGGAGCAGAAGACAGGGAACCCCAGGAGCAGGACAGCTAACCCAGCTAGCCAAAGTGCCAAGACCCTGGTCCACTGAGAGACTCTGCTCATCAATCT